TAGAAACTACACTTGGATCATAAACTACACATGAACTATGGAAACTACACATAAGCCATATAAACTGCACCTGGACCATAGAACAACCACTAAAAGGGGGTCATTCCTTCCCACTGTTGCCTCTGCGCTGCTCGGGATGGAGGATTGCAACAAAGTCAAGATTTGACTGAATCTGTTGCTTTCCTTAGACGAGGTTTACAAATTATCATTTTATAATTTACTGTGTGAACGTTTTGTGCTGTGAGTCAAATTAACTGTAATTAGATTAGAATCTGGATCTGAATTGGATTTAGGATTTGGACTGGTTTCACTTTTATGAAGTGCCATAAGACGCTGATGTTCAATTTTTACAAAAATATTTAAGAAGTAATTATTTCAAATTCAGTTGTATTTCTTACAAAACGTGTTAATTTGAGATCAAATTTGTCGGCTACAGGCTAAAAACATGGCAGCTGGCCTGTTGGCATTAATTGTTGATACCTGAGATGCTGAAAATGGCAGGATCCCCCCCCCCCCCCCATTACCCTACTGTGGAGGGGCCTTTTTGACCCCCCCCCCCCCCCCCCCAGTGTTTCAGTGCATTTGCTTTCTGCTGGTCCTGATGCTGTGTTAGCAGCGCGCTATAAATGCATAATTTACATCCATTAATTTGCATGTCAGAGAAGTAGATTGCTCATTTGAAATGCAAATAACTCGACTGCTCTGGTGCAGCAGGAGAACATGAACAACACTGATAAGCACCCAGGAGACGGGGAGAAGAATGAGAAAAAATGGAAGGAAACAAGGTTAAGCTGCCACGTTAAAGGCACGAGAGAGGGATTTTTTTAAACAAAGAGAGAACGATGAGAAAAAAGAGGAAAAGCAGCAGAGTTGAGTTTATAGGAGCCGTTTCAGGGGAAAAATGTAGCCAGAGCAATGAGATCAAACTGCTTCAGCGCCCATGCTCGCACCCACAGGCCGTGCACACATTATTACATTAAGCACGCATGCAACGCACACGCATTTACACGTTTCCACACTACCTGCCATTTCAGACGCAGTGCACACCCTAATGATGAGTAGGAGGCAAGAAAAGAAAAGGGAGGCTCCTTTCATGCTGCACACAACCACCAGCCTGCAAGGTAATTTTCTGCAGTGCTGTTGTGCCTCACACACACACACACACACACACACACCAAATTACCCAATCCCACTCTGCGTGAACAATACAATCAAGCCAGGCGGTGAAGCGAACACGGTCAATACCATGACACCGAATGAACCGGACCCTTTTTTAACAGGCCTGTTTTAAACTTCATCACTTTCGCCGCTCGTTTCGTCTGCGTCCATTTTTCACGGCTGCAAACTAAAACCGCAGCTCAAAATAAGGGATGAATCAACGACCAAGCAGCTGTTGAAGGAATGCACATTGCTCGCCGTCTTTTTTTAAATTCTTTTTGGTGAAGGGTTGAACAGAACGGTGAGCCCAGTCTGATGAGATGTCTCAACGTTTCACACAATCTGCTAACGCCCGTGGTGTGAATGACTCTCAGCTACTACTAGGCCTGTCATGATAAA